ACAACAACAACAAACAGAGAAAATGCTGAAAGAAAGAGAAAAAAATGTGGAAAAATAAAAAGGGAAAACGTGCGGTTCGTTAATGAATCATGTTTTTTGGAATACATTCAGTGTGTGTATGTGTATGCGTTGTTTAATAAAAATTTAAATGGCTGTTTTCATTTTGGTCGCCTTTTAAATGGCTTCACCGCCACACAATTTGGGGCTAGTGCATTGTATTCTCTATCTGTTTGTATTGATTTTGAATGGGCACATTACATCAGAATCTATTTGTGGCGCTCGACCAAGCGAAAGCGAACAACACCAAAAAAAAAAAAAACAAGACAGAAAAAAACTGATCGTGTGAAACTTCATTCATTGCACATTGTTGTTTGGCAAAGAAGAGACGCATTTTACTTTTAAACAAATGAAATTGCAAATTAGGAAATTCAAATCGACGGTCAACGAACCCGGACTGTCGGTTTTAGAAACAAGAACAACAGGAACAGGAATGGAAAAACGCGACTATCACTATGGCCTGTGTGTTATTGTCATCAAGTAACAAAAAGATTTACTTTGTGTTCTAAATATAAGCGTGCGTAAATGTTTTGTCTAGCATTCGTTCTAAGCATACGCTCGCTTCATTAGCGAGATTACAAGGGATTACATGCGAGAAAAAAAGCAAATGTTCGCGAGAGAGAGAGAAAAAAAGCATCATAGATGCAAACCATTCTTCATATATTGAAATGTAGCTAATTAGAATTTATCTCGAGTCGTCTCATAAAACAGAGCGTTTCCATTAAAAAAATTGAACTACAGAGAGAACATTCAATGCAAGAATGCCAATGCTAATACGTACACAAAGGATAGGAATTGATTTTTAATTTGCACAATATCGATCGGAATTCGAATCAAGAGGAATCACATGGAATGAAGAAACATACGAAGCAGAGGGAAAAAAGCGTATTTAAAAGTTGATGAAACCAGAAACGAAGAACGTTGAAGGGGGCAAGTCTTTGATGTTACTGAGTCGATCTCTGAGGAGCGTGCGTTCCCATTGATTGCGCTGGGTACGATTGTGGAATAAATGCAAATTTACAGTATTATGTTTGTTGTGCAATTTTGCACAATGCAACTGTTGCTCTACTCTCAAGCTATGCAAACATGTGTCGACAACGATAGCGAATGAATGAACAAAAGAGTGGAACGAGTCGAATTGAAGGAATTTTTTGCTTTTCCAACCTATGAATATGTCCATAGCGAAGTTTTCATAAAAAAATGTCCATAGAGAAAAAATTTGTTGGAAAATTTGTCCCAATATTGCGTTCCAAACTTCTTTCAATCTCTTATTCATGGTTCTTTATGGTGTATTCATCTGCCAAATGTACTGGTTTGACATTGAAGTCATGAATCTGTTCTGGGCGTCCAACAAGTTCTTTTAAATTAACTCCATATACAAATTTGAGTGGAAAAAGTTCGCAGACCATGAATTTTCTTTTTCCTTTTCTTTTCTTTTCGTTATTTCTTCACTCTCAGCGAATTGATTTCATCCTAAACATCTTCAATACAAAAATTCCAGCAATCGTCCCCACCTAATGAATGAGAATGAATGAGTCGAAGAAGCACAGTTTAAAAAACACAGCAGAAAAAAGAATTACACATTAAATGACACCTTTAACAAACAGAAATGCAGTACATTACTTTGCTTTGTGGTACGTCTAGCATATGGTTATGGCTGTGCGGTGCAATATACGAACCGAATCGAAAGCGTACCATAATAAAAAAAAGCGGCCCCAGCCAGCCAGCCAGTCAAGCCAAGTCAATGCAAAATACAATCCAACTTCGAACTACATGAGATGAAATCGAGGAAAAACAAAACATTGCAATAAAGCCTATAAATTTAAATTTTTCCAATGAGTGTTGCTGGTTCTTAGCTAGTGTTCTTTTTTCGTCTTTGTTTTGTTGTTTTTTCTGTGTTTCATTTGTTTTCGCTGTTTTTATGTTCGATTTCTTGTGTGTGCGCAGTGCAGCACTCATTTATTTCATGCTTTTTACGCTTACGGCCGTGTCAAGATATTGAAATTCATTCACATGCAGGCCCCGATAGAATGCGAACGACTCGATCGTTCGATGATATCAAATTGGAATTTCCATGGAAATCGGCGCGAAACAATCATAAATGTAGCTTTTGATTTGACTCGCGGTCAGATTGTGCTTGATGTTATCAATAAAGAAATCGATTGTTTTTTCCTTCTTTTGGTATACATTTCCACCATAAGTCAAACTGGGCGTATTGGCGTTGTGCATCGAATTCCATTTTGTGATAAACACTTTGGCAAAATTAATCTGGATAAATTGAAAATACAAAGCGAATCGATGATCAAGAATTGTCGCCTCCCAACAAATCCATTCCAAAGAACAAACAATCGATAAAATGCACAAAGTGACAAAATAAATGTCAACACGAGCATTATTTCAAAAGTCTAAATGTGTATTAGCTCCTTTTCACCTTTTGAAATGTGATGTGACACTGGCACCGATTAGGATGTAATATGTCAGTAATTTATGGTGCGATTTCCCGCTCTTTCTCATATTTTTTTTGGAAAATTAAAAAGGCAACACAGTATTATCGTCACCATCAAACGCAATAAATTGTGTAGCGATAGAAAATACCGCCGGGCAAATGCAATATTTTAGTTTCATGGCCTTTGTTCAGTTTTTTTTTTTTCGGTAAGAAGTGTCGCATTGGCATTTTCTTGCATTTCTCTCTCATGACATCATTTTGATATATTTGGATTAAGGAATTTTCAAATCAAGTAAAATCAAAGCGTAATCAATATATTCAATGTATGCTTTATATGTAGCTATGATTCTCAGAATGGAAAGGAGCACAAACCGAAAAAAAGAACAGTTGAATCGAAGGCGGCACTTACACAAGGATGATCTTTCGATTGAAAAATGGTTTGTTCATCATTTATTTCCTCAATTGGCAAATAAGGTTATTCTTTTCAATTCTCACGCATAACCATCATCATGTTTGTCATTAGCGGCGCCGAAACATCGAGGCTACGATCCTGTTTTCATTGTTCGACAACGGTGAACATTTCGAAAAGAAAATTCGTACTTTATATATCTATCGACAGTATTGAGTGAACGACAGACAATGAAAGCTTCCTGGAAAGGTTTCAATGCACATTCCACATTCGAAGTCATGTAGTCACATTCATGCAATGGCATCAATGAAGAGAGACGTTTTTTAGGGAGAAAAAGTTGAATGTGATCGATTCATAGAAAAACCTGTCGGCTTTTCACTTGAATTTTTTTTCTTTTCGACACCCTTGTTCGTCGAGTCACATCGGATAATCTTATGCCTTCTGGATCAACATGACTCTGTATTAGTTGGCTACTTAATTAAACCATAAATTTGGCGCGAACCATCTTGATCGATTTTCATCTTGCTATGGATGCTATCAATCGTAATGGATATGAATTTTTTTCTCTGTCTTTGTGTTTGTATCGTTGTCTTATATTGGTTGTTTTGTCTTAGCGTTTTCAGACACCGCCTTTCAACGACCATAATTTTCCACCGCACCGAATTATTCCATTCTGATACATTTCCAAGAGCAAATAATACGTTGAAAGAACAATAGAGGGCAAAAAAGTGTATACGTAGAAAAAGAGAATCGAAGCGCCTTGAAGCTCAAAAGTCACTGAAAGAGCACAAATAAATCGGACGAGAGTACAGTGCAAACGTGTAAAAGAGCCGAGAATCAAAGCCGAAAATGCAAAAAGATATATATACACACAGAGAGCATCAAAATTGAAAATGATCGAATTTCCAAGAAGGCATTCCATTCTGGCCGAAGCGACGACCAAACGAAACGAAACGAGAGTAGCATAAACTAAGAGTAAGCAGAGAGAGAGAGAGAGAGAAAGAGAAGAAACACACGGCAAAATGTGGTTCAAAAGCAAAATCGCCGAAAATATATCGAATAATCGGTTTCAATGGCTTTTTATGCACAAATTTAATGGGAATGTACAGAGTGTGCATACACTGGCTGAATAAATGTGCATTATGCCGCAACTGTCGACTCAACCGACATACAACACACAGGCACAAGCAGATTGACTCTTTCTCTCTTATTCCATTCTTGTGTTCGTATTTTCCCGTCTCTCCATCTCTCACGCGCCTCATGTAATTATTTTCTTTTTTGGTCGTTTGCTCTTGAATTTAGTTTAAATTTCAAATTACCTGTTCTTTTTGTTGTTGTCGTTGGTTCAAGCCTCCGAGAAACGCAATTGTATTGCAATGTATTGCATGGTATGTGTTCTTTTGTTGTGATTTTGGAAAAATGCTCGAAAATTCCCACTAGTTATCGCTTTAAATGCGGCTCTGAATCATTTGGTGTGTATTGGCCAAAATTTATGGTTTCTTTTCAATATTTCCTAATTTTTATTAATGAATAACCTTTTAACGGCTCACTGAAGTTTCGGTTACATCTTTTTCTCTTGCTCTCTGCTTGTCTAGGAATTTTTATTGTTTGGTTGCGTTTTGTATGCGATTTTGTTTCTTTTTTTTGCTGAGAAAAACATCGGCTTTCATCAAAACCGATTCCGAGATTGATTACAGTGCTTTCTTGGTCGCACAATTGTTTAAATGACTTACAAGCCCATAATTTTACAATTTCTGGAGTTTTTCTTTGGCAAATTCGGACAAATCGACCAGAAAATGTGGTTAAACCCGCCCAGACAATCAATGAAAATTTATCAAATTGCATCCTTAACAGTCACTCATCTCATTGTTCGATTCGCGTCCGTTTTTGCGCAATACACAAGCACTTAATTTATGTAAATAGTTCAAATGATTGGAATTTTGCAAATGCGATTCGAATTTCTTGCTCTCTTGTTGAAAATTATTAAATGATAAGATGAGAGAGTGGTCGTGCAACAACAACAAAAATGCTTTTATTTACATATGAGTTGGAGGCATCGTGCGCGGTCGCTCGTACATTAGTTCACACGTTGTCGTGCGGCAACAATGATACCGAATAGCTATCAATTCAATGCTTTGTTGCTGTTGTTTTTTTTTGTTTCATTTTCTTTGTAGCCATACTCTTTTTTTCCGTTCCTCGATTTACTCCGCCCGAATATATAAATAATAATACCCGTGTGTGTGCAGTTCATTTTCTCGGCGAAAAAGCGAGATAGAGTGTGTAATGAGTGTATGTTGCCGAAAATTGCCGAAAGTTGAAATTAATAAAATACATAATAACTTCAGCCAATATATGTGATTATACGCACTCATACTCACAACTATTTTGTGTTTGTGTGGCGTGCTTTGCAAACGCATCAGAGAAATTGTATTTTTCTAAAGAGCGTGTGATGGTGAACGAGCTACATCACATAACCCGATCACAAAATAGTAATTAGAAAGAAGAAGAAGAAGAAAACAGACAAAAATTGATTGGATTTTATTTGCGATTTTCGCGTTGTTCGGCCAATTGGATCGACGGTTTGAAGTGATCATGATTCCCAGAAGACGAGAAGAAACACACGCACTCATACACATTCGCGTGACCGTGTTGAATAAAACATAAATGTCAAAAAATATACATGTTTGTTATCGGCACTGATTAGATTAACGTTGATTTTTCCACTTCGGTGCGTGATTTACTCGCTGACAGCTTGATCAGCGTAACGACATGTATTTATACCGATGGTAAAACTGACTCTTGTACCCAAATAGTGTGTTTTATAAATAGAAATCATTTTCCAACAGATTTTCGCTTTATTTTTCTAGTTTTGAACCACATGTTGGTGCTTCTAGAAATAGCGGATACTTGCAAGTGAAGTGTCAATTGGAAATCGTTTGATGATTAGTATCAAAAGCAGAAAATACAGAAAACTCAACGAAACTCGCCAAATAAGAATAGAACCTGTTAAAAGAAATCATCGTCTCAACTGCCGTTGCCGTCGCCACCTCCGCCGCTGTCGTTTTCGTCGTCGTCTGCAAGACAGTGAATAAAGTCGAGTAAAAACAAAGAATCGCAAAGAATTCGCAACGAAAAGTGAAATTGTGTTTGTGAATCGGAATGGAGTGAGTGGACGAATCGAGTGAGTGAATAAATAGAATAACGCGCTGACAGCACTTTAAATCGAAATATGTGTTATCTGTACGGCCTGAACTGGCATACATTTGTACGCGTGTATCATAACGCATTCACCTTCTATCAGCCATACGACGGCTCCGGCTCCGGCTGATCATCAGTGTCTCAGTACGTACAAGGCAACCGACACACAATCATTCCCTTTCAATCGTCTCTCTTCGGCTCTGCTCTGCTATGTGTGCTACGCTATGACTACGATTTAGTCTGCCTGGGAGAATCAGTGAGTGCACAACCGTGTGTCGTTGTATGTGTGCGTCTCCATCCGTTGTGTTTCGTTGGTTGACAAAAACAGCTGTTTTGTGATATTGTGAGTGAAGCAAAGAAGCGAAGACGAAGAGGAAACGCAGAGAATAACAAACATTGACTAAACTGTTGCGCGTAGTACACACAACGTTCCGAAAGGCACTTTGAGCAAAGGCAATAGGCTTAAACACAAAACATAGCGAGGTGCACGCAACGTGCGCATACTTATCCTCTCGACACGGAGGCACGTTGGCCTGTGTAAGTATGCACCGTAGAGCCAGATATAACAAATAAAACATTGCTCCGGTTGATGGGATCGCTAACGCCGGCTAACGATTCAGTTTGGAAATGACTTCTGAAAGAAGAAGGATTGGTTCTACAGAGCAACTCAACACATACTAGAACAAAAATTCATTAGCAGTTTTTTTTTCTTTACGATTTTTTCTTTCGTTCAACGTTCAGTTTCCAAGTCTTCTAACAACCAAACAAAGTTCTTTCTTTATTTTTTGTTTTTTTTTCGCAACTTTTTTTTCATTCGACCAAACAAAAAGTAAATTTTTTTCTTGTTCATTTCCTGTTTTTTTCATTCAAAGTTTGACAAATTTATTTGCATTTTTTTTTTACTTTTGTTGGTTTACATGAAAATTATTCACCAAATCACAAGTGCTTGAACAGTGAAGTGTATGTGTATTTTGATAGTAGTTGATAGTAAAAATTCTAAAAATACGAACGAAAAAAAAACATATCTGTTTCACCATATGAACTTGTGAGTTGACATTTGTTTTGAAAGGCAATTGACCGCACACGCACATAGGCTGTGCCCATTATTCCTTCATCTTCTAAGTTTTTGTGCGTTATTTTACCGTAGTTTCGCTGAAACGAAGAAAAAAATACACACACACACACACAGTGTTTCATTGTAAGTTGGAGTACATTCGCTGCTGTGGTGTTCTCTCACTAGCTCTGAATTCTCACACTCATCGCAGCACAGCATACATACTAACGGTAGATCAGCGAAAGAAGAAACAGCCAAAGCAATATCAAATCAACTGAAAAAGAAATGAATGTTTTCAGGAAATGTTCAAAAAAAAAAAGATTTGAAAGAAAAGGAAAAAGTTAAATTGTGCAATTGTGAAAATGAAAACACACGAAAATCCGATACATTTCGGTTAATCCGGAAAAAGTTTGAAATCAATACGAAATTGATTTATTATCATTTCTCATCGTGTCTGAATTGTTTGTAAAAATAGAAATTCGGGTCAGTTTTGCAGTAGCACACCGGTGCTGTATTTCTAAGTTTTGGGGTTCGGAAAAAAACAATGCGACACGAGAGAAGAAAAAGAAGTAATATTTCACATTTCGACCAAATAAATTCATTGACAGTCGAGAGAAAGATTTGTCAAAGATTCTCTTTGGACGCAAGAAAGTGAGAGAGAGAACGGAATGGTCCGAAAATTGGTTGTCAGTGTACGAATGAACAATCGCAACGCATGTCTCTTTTCTTCTTCTTTCGCACACACACTGTGTATGTCGAATATGAGTCCGACATTTCTTTAATAAACGATATTGTGTTTGATGCTGAAAATCACTGAACATTCGATCACCATTTATCTAATTTATCAACTGTAACAATAGCGAACCGTAAAATTTCATTGAATTCAGGCCAAACGGTGCAAGTCAGCTCGCAGAGAAAGAAGAAGAAAACGATAGAGAGAAAAAAAGACAATCTGTACCGACAATAAGAAAAAAAATCGCAGTAAGAATACACGGAAAAAAAGAGAAAAAAAGAAGAAGCAGCGATGTGGAGGAAAAAAAATTGTCGCTTCCTTATCCCGAATGTGTAAAATAAATAATATTCTTATTGTTTGCATTTCGAAAATGTATATAACAATTGAGTGAGCCGCAAAAAAACTCATACTCACTTTTCTACCTAAGAAGATCCTTAGCCTCTCTTTCTCTCTCTCTCTCTCTCTCTCTCTCTCTCTCTCTCTCTCTCTCTCTCTATCGCACTCTCGTACACGTTTGCACAACATTTACAACGTGCTGAGAGGTAAAGAGCACATGCACTGCAAAATAATAACACAAACAAAAATAAATAGTCAACTTAACTTACCTTCGTGTGTTTTTTTTCGCATTTACCTACTCTCGGGCTCTCGATTGTATCGCACATACACACATCAACTACAACAACATTAATAACGAAATTCACACACGCAACACACCATCACCGAAAGGTACAACGGCAACGACGGCAGCAGCTAAGGAATTATTATAATTCAAGAAAACGAAGAGGGTTCTTTTTCGTCCCGTCGTTGATGTCGTCGTCCTCATCTTACCAAACAAAGAAAATTGAATTGAATTGCAGCTGTCGTTGTCGTCGTGGTTGTTACGTTACTCTCGCTCATTCTCCTATGTACATATTCTTGGCCTGCTTAAAATAAGAAAAAAAAAATTAGGCAAAATCCTGAGCCCGAAGATCGATTGCAATGTAGTTAGATTTATTAACCGACTGATTTTTTTTCCTTTTCTTTCTGAATTGCAAATACACACTGTGTCTATGCAACAGAAGCAGCAGCAGTATGTTGTTGCTGCTACCATTCTGAAAAGTCCAATGCACAATATAATAAAATAATTTCTCTTTCATTCGACAGAATACCATAAGTGAGCCCATGACCACTATATAGTTCCACGAGTGTTTTCATTTGCCACCCAACGGGAACTCAACGATAAAATTTACCATATCTAAAACAAAAACTTGCAAGAAAAAAACACAGAGCAGAACAGTGAACTGGGCTTAAAAACGAGAGTGTATTTAAAAAATATCAACCCATTGAAAAACTACCACCGCGTGGTCTTATATTCAATAGCTAGTGACTCAGCGCATTTGACAAAGAAAAAAGAAACCGTCCCGTTGTCACACTGTTCAAAAATTCGTTCATCATCATTAAAACGAAATTTTGTTGTTATTTTATTCATATGCGTGAAAATTCATTTTTCAATTGGACGATTATGAATTAGTGGTTTTCCATAAATACAGTTACACATACACACACACACACACACACACACACGAGGAACGCTGAAATAAACGCAGTTACTAACCGCAGTATTAAAAAATATAATAGGAACATACGCTAAAGATAAAAACGACAGAGAGACGAACAAATCGAGATACATAAAGAGAAAATTTGTCGTGCGCGCGTGGTGAATAAATTTCATACATTGTTGACTGTATTCGATTGCGATACCGATCACTTGAGTACAAAACGGACTGTGTGTGTGAGCACCGAAAACTGCCCACAATATCGCCGCGTGAACGTGCTGCATAAAATTAAAGGATCACCCCTACCAGCAATCATCATCGCCGCCCATCCACGCACACACACATTTCATGCTCTGATGATCGTGTTTGCGTTTTTTTTAAAAACATAATTAACATAATTTCGTTCGGTTTTGTAATTTTTCTATAAGAACAATAACTCTTGATCGCATCGAGTAAAAGCAAACCAATTGCATTCGAGCAAAAAAAAAAAATCCGCGAAAATTCGTTGTTTATTGTGAACGAAGCAGAAACAAAAAGCCCATCCACAATGGATCTGATGTGCAATGAAAAGGAAATGTTCAAAGATCACCATCATCAAATCGACAATCACATGCAACAAATGATGCACATTGAACAACAACAACAACAACAAGTCAACACCGCTTCTGCTGATCCAACCTTCTTGTCCGAGCGTTGCCTGGAGAATTTACTGAAATCCGAAGAAACACATCCAGTGATCAACTTCTACAACAATCCACAATGCGAAATCACGCCCAAAATGAGACGCATCGTTGCTGAATGGATGATGGAGGTAAGTTTCCAATGTTTATCACCTTCAAACAAAATTAAATCACCTTTTTTCGGTAGCCATATTATATGGTCCTATTCAAATTTAGCATATTATGCAATCGTCTCGCGACACTTTTTCCATATTATTTACAAATATTAATTTTTTTCCGTCGACTTTGACTTTATCTCTTTCTCTCTTTTTCTATTCATAACACACGCTGAGGTTTTCGGTTTGAAATATTGAGCCAATTTGCGTGTCTTCTCCATTTCATCTCTAAGTTACCGTTTGATATTTGTATTGGATTTCAATGAAATACGACCACACATTTGTACAATAAGTCACTGCGTAAATTCGTATAGCGTTTCCAGTCGCTACCGTCCGTCGCACAAACACAACCAAATTGCATATTTTTTTGGCGAATGAGAAAAAATGAAAACAAAAATGTTTGCTCACCGAGTGACACTTGTACATGTGAATGTAGTAGTAAAATTCTCTTTTCTTTCTTGCTATCGTTTCACTTTCACATAGAACATTTCTTCTACGACAGCCACGACTTACATGTGAAGCAGTGTTAATGTGAATATGATTCCATTTAAATTTAGACTTCTATCTTTGCAAGTAGTATCAGTTGCATGCCTCTCTCTCCCTCTCTATCTGTCGATCACTTCACATTTTCATTTGTTATTGTTATTGTTTTCGCTCACAATTGGGACTTTCCACATTTTTATACAACTTCCTAGTTCTTTTTTATTCGCGCCGCACCTTCGTGATGCGTAGATTTCGGTGAGCGACATTTTTGTTGCATATTTGTTGATTTTAGTCGATCGTCACACACAAGCTTTCTTTTTGCCTTGACAATTCGCAGTATTTTTTTTCGTCTTTATTCGACATATTTTTGTGAAACGTGCCAGTCTTTATCGTTAATTATCAATTCGGTAAGTAACACGGTGCCCTGTCAACTTGAATCGATTCACTTGCTAATAATGTTATTTGCAAGCTTTTTTTCTTCTCGAATTTTTGCGGAAATGAATAACACAATCATTCTTGTTGCGATAACCCTAAAGAAAGATTTAAATTGCCATGTTTTGACGAAGTTTCATTCTGTATACATGATGAGGATATATATTAACGCGCGCCGTTTAAAAATAGATTTAAATGAAGCGAACTGTAGAGCGAGTGAGAGACAGCGAGAGAGGTTTTTGGCATCGTCGGCCACATTTAAATGTGAATAGGCTCAGACAGAGACAAACAATCGATTAGCCATATGATTAACTCAATTGATCTCTATTATTTCTCGAGTCACAACGCGAGTGCGTGCCTGTTGCACAAAACAAAGAAGATGAAGCAAAAAAAAAACGGCATTTTCGCTTGAGATGCAAAATGCCCGTATTTTTTCTTTGGTTTGGATGCGTTCAATCTGTGCGATGATTTTTCAACAGCAAGCCATTTCCCATTGCCATTAGTTTTTGAATGTGTATGTATGTGATGCTCCAACAAATTGAACATTTTTTTCTGGTTTCATTTCTTTTGCAAATCCTTTCTTTCGCATGATGCGCCGAAAAACAGTCAAAAGAAATACTTTGACTTTTCTCGCCTTTCATCGTGTCTTTGCTCGCTTCCCAATACATCAGTGTACGCCGAAATACTTTATTAACATATTTGAGTGTGTGCTCACTCTCATTCGATGTATGTTCATGTCTGAAATTGATGATTTCGGTTCGATTCTTCTTCTCGTTCTCATCGTCTTTCTCACTCACGCTTTATTCCACTCAACTTCAGACTCTTATTCACCTTGTTTCGCTATTCATATCTTATTATATACAATACCGAACGAACGAAAGGAGGAAAAAAAAGCATTTATTTGTAGGGAGAAAAAAATGGGCAAATATTTACTTTACGCAAAAAGGTATTTAAATGCTCGTTGCCTTTTTCGTGTTCGGATTGTGTTAATACAGTTGTGCAGTCTCAGTTCGTGTCAATCGGTTGGGCGGGCGGGATTCAAATATCCTGCGATTGTGCACGTACACGAATATCGATGGAGGTTTTTTTCTTTCTGCAGCATTTATGAGTGCACAACAACAATAGAAGAGCATAACTTTGCGCTAACACACACAAAAACGACGACCAATTTGGTCTTCAATACTTGGAAGCGGTCGTTTTTTCATGCGAAATTGAAACATGTACTTTTATGCATAATTGATCAAATAAGCCGGCGCAACATACCTAAATGTGTAGCAGCAGCAGCAGCATTATCATCGTCATGGGCACGGGATGTATGCAGCATCAACCGACGAAATGGAGGCAGAAAAAAACTGCGGCACCTTCCAATTTATCGACGAGTCGACAGTACGCACGGTTCGCGTGTTTGGATTCACTCTAACGAATTGACCGTGAGCTTCAATTTTGAAGTTCACGCATACAAAAGCTCTCTCTCTCTCGGGCGTGCGCGAGTCAGCCGTTCTTCCACTCATGATAATCTCTACTCATTGTGTGTGTTCGACCCATTCGGACTCTTCTTCTCGCTGTTTTTTTTTTCAACTAATTTTTATGATGCGAACCATCAATATCACTTAGGGATTTTTTCCTCCAACTTTCTTCTCTCTTTTTCTTGTTCGGCTGCATTGCATCTACTGATCATCATATGAATAACGTACCAAAGAAGAGAGACGCACTAAAAACCACATGAATATTTGCACTTTCGTTCCATAACCATATGTGCAGTAACGCATGCATACACCGCAATTCAATCATTATCATTAAATTGATTTTTATAAACTTGGTCTACGGTCTCGCTTTTTCACTCTGCACTCTCTCTCTCTCTATCTGGCATTCTCGCTTGATCGAGTCGCAATGCAATTGCAAAATTGCAGTGCAAGCCAAGCGAAAAGAAGAAGACAAGAGTAAGATGGAATGAACCTCCGGTCATTAGACAGTGCGAATATTTCGACAAGTATTTCTCATCAATTTTTCATTAAAAGATCACTTGACGACAGTAAAAATGTATGACGTGCGCACTCGGTGATTCTTTGCGTGCTGATGAACGGAGGCCGCGATGCGCATTGCGCACTGCCCAAACCATCACCGATTAGCGACATTTCTTGAATGGAATGTCGTCTAAAAACAAAGAAAAAAATCGCGTTGTCGCTGACATTGGACTGAAGCGGCACATGCTTTCGCTGTTTAAATCACACGCACAAAAAACTGGACCGTGGCGACGACCACGAAAACGATGAACGACATTTAATTCGAAACGAAAATAAAATCAAATTTGACGAAATATTTGAGTCGCACGCAGACATTCATGTGCACAACATTGTATCATTGTCCAAATCAGGCTGAAAAAGAGAAAGAGATCCACTGTGAAAACTGGAGAATGTTATCATTGCTTATCATCCGATTCGGAACGAAACAGATGAGAGAGTGCGAGAGAAAGAGAGAAGCTTCGCCAACATTTAACTCCGAAAATGGTTTGAACCCCAGAACAACAAAAAAAAAACCATGATGAGCATCGGATTCCAATATTTCGGCAAAGCGCTTAGAAAAGAGAATTTTCGATGCTGCTTGGCTGTTGTGGTATCGCGAAATTGCAATCTTGAAAAATTTCTCGTTTCATCTTCTTATTCCACGACCAAAAATTGTTTTGCCGTCATAAAAATGCGTTGAAATGAAGAGAACAAAAACATACACATAAGATGTGCCGAATGAGCAACAACACATTTCAAGATTGGTTCAGCTTTTACCGGTTAGGCTGTGTGGAAGAAGAAAATAGATTTTAAACCAAACCACCGGACCATTAGCCAATCTTAACACGGCAAACACGAAAATCTACACACATAGACACGCCAAATTATCGTTTAGCTAAAAATGTTGCTATTTATTTATTTATTTTATTTTTTGCTATATTTCTTCTTCAAGGCAAACAGTCATTGACCAATAACGTCTGCTTGCCATTTTTCATCATACCATGTTCGTTCGGTTATGTTTGGTATTGTTGTTGGTTTGGTGCTGGTGCTGCTGCTGTCGCTCAAGCACATACGTGAATTATTTGATATTGTGTGTGAATGCGTATTGAATAGACAAAAAGTAAAAGAAGAAGAAGACGAGTAAACAGCGCTTTGAAAACATATGACGATGAGACAATATTATAAATAATTCTGCCGATTGTGAATTGATGAGAGATAGAGAGGTTCTAAAACAAAACAACACTCAACGACGAAATAAAAGAAAAGAACTAGCCGCTTGACAAGATCTCATAGGCAGAGCAAAATCTGCGTGTTATTTTTGGTCGATGCCGTCGTATGTGTATATGAATATGTGTGGTATTTAATTATTTCCAAGCCATAAACTGTTGTTGGCCGACGGTTAAATCTTGTGTTTCAAGCAATACCACAAGTGGTAAGGTTTTGCGGTGGATGAATGTTGCCGACACACGGCCGGATAAGAAGAAGGAAGGTACCTAAAACGGATTGTACCTCCGTTGGAGTAAGAAGTGTTTTACTTCTGATCAATTGCATAATGGTTCATAATCGGGGTAAAAAAAAAGCGAAAACCACAACGAATGTATGCCATCGACTGCATTTTGTGGTTATGAACCTGGAAGACGACGTTTACACCGTCAAACTATGATTCCGAATCAGTAATTCAATTTATAGCATGGGAATGGATAGCTTTGCGTATTTTTTTTCTGTATTTTCTGCATTGAACGAATGTCTCACACATAGAGTGGCACACAATCATATATCGATCTTTGCTAATTATATTTAAATTGTTCATCAATGGAATAAATTATCATGGGAGTCACGTAATCGAATGTTCATCGGTTAGTGACAGCAATCCATGTGATTTGCATACACACTCTATCGCACACCTTCAACGCAACGTGCTACGACAGCGACGACAACCATAACCGTCGTTGAAACACACACACACACACACGCAAAACCATGTCTCCAATGAGAATTTTCTCTCGCGTTGTTTTTTTTCGCCAACTTTTCAAATATATTTTCTGCAGCACACATTAA